TTAGGGAAGTGAACTTGTATGTGGATGAGGTTAAAGAAATGCAAAAAGGTGATGAGAGCTTGGGTGAGGGGGATAAGGGAAATGCTGCTGTGAGCTTGGGTGAGGGGGGTGAGGGAGATGTTGTTGTGAGCTTGGGTGAGGGAGATGAGGGAGATGGTGCTGAGAGCTTGGGTGAGGGTGGTGAGGGGGATGAGGAAGATGGGGCTGAGAGCTTGGGTGAGGGTGGTGAGGGAGATGAAGAAGATGGTGCTGAGAGCTTGGGTGAGGGTGGTGAAGGGGATGAGGAAGATGGTGCTGAGAGCTTGGGTGGGGGTATTAAGGGAAAGGGAGAGTATGTTGAAAGTGATGAATCCAGTGATGATGTTTATGATTGGGAATATGATATGGGGAATGACGGATTAGATGATAAGTTGTTTGATAAAAATGTTGGTAGTACTGTTAATGGGTTAGGTGGTCAGAGTGAAAATGAGAGGGAAAATGAATATGGAAGTGGGGATGAAGATGTGGTATACCAAGAGGAGTTAAATAGTGAAGATAGCTCTGATGAGGACAGAGTGAGGTATAAGTTTCCTGTGTTTGATCAGAATGACTTATATGAACTAAACTTCAAGATAGGTATGTTGTTTGCTACCAAATCTGAGCTTAGGACTGCTATACATTCATGTGCAATTAAGGCAAAGAGAACTATCATAATTAGCAAAAATGTTAAGCAGTATCTTAGAGCCAGGTGTGGTGATAGTAATTGTTCATGGAAGATTAGTGCAGTTAGAGTGAAAGGTGAGGAGACCTTTCAGGTTATTAAGTATAATCCTAGACACACTTGTGCTGTGACAGGAAAGGTACAAAATTTAAAATCCACTTGGTTAGCTGGGAAATATGCTGCTGTTTTTCAGGATGATCCTCAGAGGGCTGTGAAAGGGTTTAGAAATCAAGCAGCAAGAGAGCTTGGGGTTCACATTTCTAAACAACAAGCATACAGAACCAAGATGCATGTTATTGCTGATAAAAAAGGTGAACCAAAGGAGCAGTATGCATTGTTGTGGGATTACTGTGAGGAGATTAGAAGAACAAATCTTGGTAGTACAGTTGTGTTGGATACTGTTTCTGATTCTGATAGTGGGAAGACTTTGTTTAATAGATTTTATATTTGCTTGAATGCATTGAAGTTGGGATTTAAGTCAGGTTGTAGAAATTTGTTTGGTGTGGATGGTTGCCATTTGAAAGGTCCAAATAAGGGGATCTTACTTACTGCTGTTGGGGTTGACCCCAACAATGCACTTTTTCCTTTGGCATATGCTGTTGTCAGTGTTGAAAACTTTGAAAATTGGGAATGGTTTTTTATTCTTCTGAAAAATGATTTGGGGATTGTCAATCAGAATGAATGGACCATCATTTCAGATAAGCAAAAAGGATTAATACAGGCTGCACAAGCAATTTTTCCAGATTGTGATCACAGGTTCTGTGTGAGACATATTAATGCAAGTGTAAGCGTCCGGGTCCGGTTTGGAGTAGATCGGTTTTTGTCCTTGCCGGTAGAACGCCGAGAACCTGCAAATAACTCTCACACCGGGGGTTGGGTCCGGTGAAGAGCCTCCGATGCTTAAGTCAGTATGTGTATGAGTATACTGGAATTTAGAGAATGAATAGAATGTCTCAAGGAAGAAAGGCTCATCCCCTTTTTATAGGGGTGAGATACCTGCCCTAATAGCTGCCCGGATAAGGATACGTGTGCTGCCCAAGCTGCCCGTCCATACTCTGACACGCCGCGCACATGTCAGAGGTGCCGCGGGACGTTTGGGCGTTGTCAGAGGTGGTTATCGCTATCACCCAATACATTGTCGACACGTGTCCACCCGGCACATGGGGTAAATATTCTCCTGCAGCTCAGTCAGAGACCCTCACGCGCGTTTGCTATACACGCGTCTGGGCCTATGTCGATCAGCTTGCTCGATCGCTCAACTTGCTCGATCACTGGTCTGATCGATTAACGGGTAGCTCGACCGGTCTGATCGTGCATCGGGCTGCTCGATCACCTGTGCAGTTAAGCCTCGGGTTGTTCGATCGCTTGTGTGGTCGAGCCTTAGGCCGCTCGATCACGTGGATTCCTGTCTTTCAGCTTGGTTCGCTTCCGGTCTCCTCTTCTCGACCGGCTCACCAAATCGGCTCGTCTTTATACAGATAATATCCTATATCATCTAGTCCCCCCCACTCTGGTCGAGTCTGAATGACTCGATCTAAGAGTGAGTTCATGTTTATCGACCTTCTCGTGGCTTGTCATCGGATATCGACCGGCTGATAAGTTTCCCGCCCATTCTTTTGAATAATTCAACATTAATTTCCAGACTTTAAAGCTATCTGTCCCACGTCTTTCTTGTCGCGCCTACTTTTTCGCCACGCGTCCCACCTTTCCGTATGTGTCAGATGCTTTAATGATGACGCCCCATCGCCTAACGCGCCCGCTTGGAGTACCGTGCCATTTAATATCCCCGCCGCACGATCTAGCTTTAATCTGACGGTCTTCTTTCTTCTCCTTTTAATTTTTCCCAAGTATAAAACCCGTACTTAGCAAAATTTCAGACTTTTTCCACCTTCATCTTCCCCAAATTCCTTTGTATTCAAAATTCTCTCTGCAA